GATGAATAATAGCTGATAAGAAAGTAGAGAATTTTTTTTTTTTTTTTTTTCTCTCACTCTCTTACTATAGGAAAACGATTTTTTTCGCGACCCTTTCAATTTGATTTTTTAGACCGTTTAAACGTGCATTCTGATCGTCCAATTTGATCGTTACTTTTTCGGAAAAGACAATGCATTGAAAATCTATACTTGAAATATTTTTTCATCAATTTTGTAAATCATCCTAAACATTCTAATAATAATCGCTGCGACTTTTTAACGAGGTTAAATTTCTCTCTTAATAAAATTCTATGAATGCTTTACCTTTTGTAAATTTCCCTTCGAAAATTGTTATATTTCGAACTTTTCTGCCTGAAAAAGAGTTTCAAGAAAACATTCTTTTAGTAAAATCTCTTGCTTCCATGTTGCGTAATATTTTTCCCAATAATTTTCCCCTATCGAACCTTATTTACCATTATGTTCTTCGGAATCATATGATACGATTAGATGACATAGTTCTATTACCTCCTCTTACAGTCTTTCTTTCCGGCTCTTTCGGTCTTTGCAAACAAGTATAGTCCCTAAAAGTACACCCGCTTTTAAAAGACTTAAAAGGCGAATAAACTTTATATAAGTTTGTCTCGAAATTCTTCCGTCATAATCCCATTCCTTGAATAGCTCACCTTCTTAAAATGAAAAAAAGACTGTACAAGTTAAGTCGTAAATAAATTGTCAACTTCGCTAGTACACCTGTAAAGAAAATTATGTTTTATTGAAAGTTTGTTTTGTCGAGCTTGCGTAAAAAAAGTATTAAAGTATTTTCCAAAGTTTTCTTCAAAGTATTTTTCTAAATTCCTACTTTACCGAATTCACGAACAATATCCTTATTTGTTATTTCATTGCAATTGTGTTGGATAAATGCAATTCAACTAATTAACAAATAAATCGAAATAAATTGTTTAATCATTTCAGAAGTTTTTAAAGTTTTCTGTAGATTATATTAGTAATAAGGTCAAACCTCTCAAAATAATCATGGTGTCAGCTACTAGCCGTTTCAATAAGAGAAGTAAGCTTTTAAAAAAAAAGTTTTAGAAGTATTTGAGTAGTTGTTTACAATCTTCTTTTATGAGTATTTATGAGCATTTAAAGGAAAAGAATGAGTAATATGCTCATGCGTATGTTGTCATGTTAAAATTCATAAGTAATGAAGTCATGCTATGTATTTATTACAATTGTTTTTTTTATTTATAATTTACACCTGTACGGTACATTACATCAACGACTAAAATTCAAACATAGATCAAACCTTATTTATTATGATCATAATTTTATTGCGATATAACTTTCTTTACTTAGAAGATCCAATTGAACAAAAATGTTTTCTAAAAATCTCGTTTAAAAATAAATGGAATTTTCAATTTTCTAAAACTTTTTTATATCTTGTGATATTTTATATTAATTATATCAAAATAGAAGATCGTTAGTAACAAAAATATCTGTAACAAAAATATCAGAAAATGATGAATATTTAAAATACACCAAACTTCCGTTCTCAACTATATCATTATGCTTCAAAGTCCACGTCCATCAGGTTTTTAAATCCTCCTCGTGATTGCTTATATTCAATCAGACTTCGGACTTTGAGTTCTTGTGTTGATTATGTTTCAGCTTATGCGAGCGACTTTGTTGCACTGAAAACGTTTTCGTATAAGAGAAACTTGCTTGATTAAATTTCTCGTCGAAATTCTTTTATGATACAACTACATGATTTTTTGATTTCTAATAATTTCATATGTTGGTATAAATATGTGAAAATTTATTAAATGTTATTCTAATGGAAAGAAAAGTGATAATATAGATAGATGATTCTAAAATCATTTTGACTTTATCAAACTTAAATAGGTTATTTATTACATAAAACCGTTTAACTGCTTGTCGCCATTTAACGCTTATACTACCTCATAACACAACAGGTATTGTCTAACAATGAATTTGTCATGTTAAAAATAAGTATCCTGAGAATCATGAAATCCGATTGGATAATTTCATAATTATCTATCCACTTTTGAGCTTTTACCTAATTTGAAACATTGTGATAACATTTGTTTATAAGTACATAGAGACAAAGATTTTTTGAAATATAACATGTGATTGGTCATTACCTTGTATTTCTCCTCCTCTTTCTTTCAAAAGAAATGTTTTGGCGTGCGAAACTTTTTTTTTCCGGTCGTGAACAGAATCTTTTGGTCACAAATGATTGATTAATTCGAACGTATTTAAAATATTGATATCTCTTTCATATATCATTATAAAATTTGTACAATAATTTATGTATAATAATTGTTCAAAAATTGCATATTGCATAAATCGTACGACCTATACAAACAAGCTTACTAATAAAGCCAAAGTTAGGCTAATTAAAGCTGGATGTAAAAGATAGGGAAACGTGATAAAGATCTTAATTATCACACTCGTTAAATAAGCATAAATACTCATCGAATTTTTCTTTTTTTTTTATTAA